CACACACACACACACACACACACACACACACACACACACACACACACTTCTTACTTTGGATTCCAGGTAAATGTTGGCCAGCGACATCTTAGCGACCTTGTAGAGACACACGGCGAGCGAGACGGCACACAGGACAAAAAGCGAGTCGTTGATGGCGACCCTCACCAGCACGATGGTGTGAGCTTCTGCAGAGGACATCCTCACCAGCAGGGCACACACCAAGTTCACTACTAGAAACACCAGGCTGATGAACAGGAAGAGCAGGTACAGTGGCAGCCTGAGGATCACGGGAAATATTATTCACCTCAAAAGTCACCGTTTGAAGTACTTCAACCAAGATGTTTGGTTGTTTTTGGGCCAAAAATCATAGAGAAATAGAATTGAATGGTGAATGACATTGAGCCACGGTCTGATCTTACCTGTATCTCAAAAGCTCTGGTGCGTATTTCGACTTTGCCTTGAAAACGACCTGTGAAAAGAAATCAGTTACTGCGTCAGTGTCGGGCTGTTTAGGCAGCCGGCCCGCTTTCACTTCTGTATTCTCGCTCGAACGAAAGACAAGTTCTACTGAAACAGGAACCTCGCAGTGTTGAACATTGGATGCTCAGTGTTCACACAGCACAGTGCTCGAATGCTTCATGTCGCACTCTCAACTGTGACTCAAATCAGCACAAGAGAGTTACGCTAAAAATAAGCTGGAGGCCTGAGATTTAGTAAGCAGGTGTAATCGGGTCCTTGCTATCCGATGCCGTTAACATTAGTGACTATTAGAGCGTCGCGTCAGACGTATTCACTGCAGCAGGTCGGCCTGAACGATAATTTAGCGTTGATATCTGTCATGTCGTATTATTGATTTGATCAATTTTTCAAATTCAAAGTTCTGTTAAAAGTAAAATCCTAATTTAAAAGTCACTAAAATTGTGGTTAAATGTTTTGTTTTAACCCGTTTTACTGATGTTCATTGCTCTGAACATCAAGTTGATTAATATGTAATTCAATACATACCTAAATATGAAAATATGTATATATGTATTCACATTTAGAGCTGAAATGAGTAGTTGATTAACAGAACATGAATCGTGATAATCAGGTGTCCCAAAAATGTAAAACAATTGCTGCTTGGTTAGAAAAACACGTGAAAAGCACCGAGATAGCTTCATTAATATAATGATTATTCTTTTTTTAATCAAAAGAATAATCGATTGCAGGAAATACTCATTAGTTATAAACTATTCTTAATATTGTTGTGGTATTTAAACCAAAAGCTCAGCTCTAGTTTAATGGTTTTTATTTGAACTATCTCTAAATGATCGTATTCTGTTCAATGTCATGTTATCACCAGGAGCCATTTTATATTTTGGTTTCAGGCACTAGTTCACATGAAGGAAATGTGTTTAACAGACATGTTTTATGACATTTAAAAACACCCTGGAATTCAAATGCATCTCTAATTTAAAAAAAAAAAATCTTATTTCACTGACAGACCCTGTCTCATTGTACAGTGCACTGGAGGTTTCAGGTGTCCACATACATGTAGAAGTTGCATATTGACTTCCAAACCAGTAAGATCCTGCTCTGGGCTAACAGCTATACCACTCCTCTTAAACTCAGACTTAAGCTGAGAAACTGTCCCTCATAGTGTGAAACTCTGCTCACAACAACCACAGCACATGTTTGAGTGGATATATTTAGGACTAAATAATCCAAACACTGTCCTCACATTACAGAGAAAACAAGTGCGGATAAGTGGCACACACACATGAAACCCTGCGGCTGTATGAACAGCACCCCGGCCTGTAACTCACCTGTGCGAGGTAAAGGTTCATGAGACTCAGTGTGAAGAACTGCAGGCAGACGGGGAAGCAGTACAGCAGCCAGAAGGGGAACGGGCCCAAGGTGTTGGCCGTGACAAAGTTCTGGAAGTAGAAGGAGAAGAGCACGGTGCGCAGGGCCGACCACATCAGGCACAGCGACAGGAACGCGGTCTGGTAGCTGAAGCGCTTGTGTCGGTAGCGCAGGACCAGCCAGAGCTGCACGTAGACGAAGATGAAGAGGAGGGAGTAGAAGACGGTGTAGACCACCGTCAGGCCCAGCGTGACGTAGGTGGGCACGGCCGGACTCAAGGTAGGCAGAGGCAGGGACCTGTCCATCGGCGACTGGTCCTTCTCCTCCAGCGGGGCCTCCATGAACCTGCTCTACCTGACCGTGGGGAGGAGGGAGCGGAGCGGAGGGGTTCCTCTGGCCCGGTGTTGGCCGCCGGGTCTCTGGCTTCACAGAGCCAGCCTCTCGGCTGTCGCGTACCGCAGAAGGAGAGGTGAGAGCCGCGGCCAAAAAAATAAATAAAGAAAAAAGTTGAGAGTGAAGTAATAATGCTGTGAATGTGGCTGTCAAGTGGAGGGAGAAAAGAAAACAAGGCTAACTTCCTGCTGCGGAGCCACAGACAGCCAGCGAGCGAGGCACATGATCAGTGATGACAATGAGCCGTTTGTCAGGGACGGCGGCGGGGCAGGAAGCTGCTGAGAGCAGCCTGCCGCGAGGAGCTCAGCGCGAGGAGAGGAGGACCAGCCTCCGCCCCCTTCCAGCCCCTCCGCGCACTCATTACGTGACGCTACGCATCAGCTGACGCACGCTACTGTACCTTTAACCCTGTGATGGGGCTTCCCACCGCTGCTCTGATCCCCAGAGAGCGTCTCAGATTTACTTTCATTTTATCAAGGTGCATGACAAAATAATCACATCCAAAATCACCATCATTCAACACTGGTGAGTTCATAAACAATATATACAACTTATTCACGAATTGTAGGCGTAGGCCGTAAAAACAGGAAGAAATCACAACACTAGAATCACTTCAGAAGATAACACGTATTGTAGCAGAAATTGCTGTGGAAGAAAGAATCAAAGTGTTAAATACTAAAAGTGTACTATATCATTATTTTTATATTATCTTCAAGTTCTAAGTTGATTAAAAGAAAATGTATTTGAGAAGCAAAATACTGAAATATTATATTAGAACTGGAGCTAAAGCACAACAAAAAGCACTGGTGACTGCAAAATGAAATTATAATTGGAGTTGTGTGTGGTCGCAATGTCCTTGGTTCTCACTGGCTCACGTCACTGTAAACTATAAATTAAAGAAAAGAACCCATAGACAGAATTAACCAGAAGCGTTTGTACTATCTTCACACATATGAATTAATAAAATATCCCCAATCATCAACTTCTATACATTAAAGTTGTACCATAGCGTTTTATTACTGTATTAACCTTTTATCGATCAATTCATCTAATCATCACAATGTAATTGCCACCTGGAGTCCTGACGGTCAAAGGAGCGAGTCTGGGGGCCCCGGGGAAGTGGCCCGCTTTGCCCAGTTTGTAATCCAGCCTTGACACAAAAAAATACTGGATCCTACAAATTCAAATCAGTAGCATTTTTAATTGGACCCTCTCTGCCCGGGAAACACCAGGGTTGTTTTCTTGGACTTTAGAAAGCTCAGCAGTGAGTAGTTCTCCTCATGACAAAGAAACTGATCTCAATGTGTAAAATCACCAGAGTTCCCCTTTAATTCAAACCAAGAGTACATCAGGTCTGTTTAAAGAAGCACAATTTGGTTTACGATCCAAGAAGAAGTCTAATCAGCACTCAAACTTCAGTGAAGCTTGTTATGGTTAGTGGTAGCTGTTTTTTTTGTTTGTGTTTCACAGGACTGGGGCATGTGAACATGAGGAAGGCCAAGGATGGAGGTCACTCCAGCTCCCCTTTGACTGCTGTGAAACGTTAATCTTTTTGCACACGGGGACACTCCCACCCAGCACCACACCAGGCCGGATACCGTCAGCCACATTATTAAGATATCCTTTAAAACGTTGGCCTCTAATGTGTGAGATGGAGAAATGAATTCAATTACATCATTGTGTACTTCCTTTTACGTCTCTGTTTTCAGGAAACACACACTATTTAATAATGATGGACACCTAGCCGAGAGCCTTTTAGATATGGAAGCAACATGTTTAGTCAAAAAAAGATACAAAACATTTAATGTGTTGTTTGTTCCCAGAGTTTCCTCAGCCCGGCTCCAGCCCTTCAAATCGGCCACGTCTCCAGTTTTGTCTGTGAAGAAAAAAGAAAGAATAATAGAGTGGTGACAAAAATGGCACTTCAGCCTGATTATCAAGCTGATCAGATCCAAGTCCACTGCTGGTTTCCAGGCAACACGCTCAGAGATAACAGACTCACTCAACACATCACTGGCCCCGAGGAAAATATCCCATCAGCCACTGAGTGTCCAACACGGGCCCTACAGTATGTGCATCGCCATGTAAGTGCAGTGAATATCGACAGATATTATAATTATATGAAGACAGCTGTCATAATTTGGGGGACTACGTTTAGCTTCGTGCTTAGAAGCAGTGATGGAGAGATCTGCAGTTATTATGAATCTGTTTCCTGTGCTGATTTCAGATAAATTGGTTCTCTCTATTCAACATCCTTGAAAAAATATTTTGGGCATATTTTTTTAAATAATAAAATAAACAAATACATATACATCTATGGTGTTGATGTTCCTAATGTATGTATATACATTTGTGTTAATCTCTGAAAACCTTTTAATTCTCTGGAGAATATATTCAGAAACCACAAATGCAAACTTCATACAAACGATCAGAAGGTGGCGCCATTCAACCGTATAAAGATGGAAAGGCTGGGAGGGATTCAAAGTGGGAGTAATAATGAAACATAGAATCAGATGAGACAATTAAACAGAAAGGAAACCAACGGAAATGTTTAATTCTCTTATGAATGGTCTCTCTCCAAAATACTATGGGTTCCAGCTTAGTATTTAAAATCCGTTAACGACATCCAGATGGATGTTTCTGCATGGTATCTTAAATTTAAAATTTTAAAATTAAAATTATTTCTGATTCCAGTCTTTGTGTTTGAAAAGCTCATCTTAAAGCCCCACTAGTAGAGAGGCTGAAAAAGGAAGGTTTGCCCTGAGGGTGATGCTAAAGAGAAACATAAATGTACCCAGTAAGTTTCACAACAATATGGTCATTGTATATTTTGGCCCGAGGGTGGTGCAAGAGAGAAGCTCCACAAAAGAGGACACAAAACTCTCATCCTCTGTGGTTCCTGAACTATTTGCCTTGTGATCCCTTAAAACTAACTCATGTCTATACTGAGGACCCTTCGTCGCAAGTCATGTCTTCAGCCTGGATGATCTGAGGTGTCAGCAGTTTGACAAGATTCATTTTGATTTTTTCATTTTAGAACACAAAAAAAAAAGTTTCACTCAAAGTTTCTCAGAGGCCGGAGGTGAAAATATCCACTACTTCAAAAGCAAAAATAAGAGAAAAAACATCAAAAATAAACGTAATTTTGTGCAATAAAATAATATGCATTTTCATTCTCTCAGCTCTGCAGGGGCACTTTGGCAATCTTACACATACTGTTATGTGGGTGGTCCCCAGGTAGGGAAGGATCCATGATGCACAATCTGTACTTTCAGTTTTGATATCTCTTTTGAAATGAAATCTTGGTCTGGTGGTGGACACACAGGGTGGACTTTGGAAAAGATCAGGGGGTCACAAAAACATTATTAATTCTTATCTGGGGATTACAAATGTCCATATTTAATTTAGTGGGGAATATTGTCCTTCATTCAGAGGTCATATGTTACCTAATTTCATTTTCATTTTCAAAGCTCATTGACCAAAGTGTTGGCAAAAGCTATTTTCGGCTGATGTTAGCGCCAAGCAAAAGGTCAGAGGTCACAACAAATCATGAGGAATCATGGGAACCATGAATACTCATATTAAAATGTGATGGCAATGTGGCCAACAGTTGTTCAGATGAGTGGACCAAAGTGTTGGATGGATGGCTGAGCATCTGTTAGCAGGCCAAAAACAGAACCATATTACCAGCACGCCCCTCATTATCCCAGCTGGAGTCCAGTCTGATAGCCGCAGCGGGATACCTCAAATGATTAGTATGGTACAGTGCTCTGTGATGTTCTCCTTTACATAATGTTTCAATCAAACCGGCCATGGGGCTCTGTTGCTGGTAACTGGTCCATGCTCTGATGTCTATGCTCTGATGGCCCCTTGGCCTGTGTCCAGATCTGCTAATACAGCCCAGTGTTGTCCCTCTGGAGACACTTGGACCTCCAACACAGTGGCCCCTGTGTTTTATAGTACCATATCGTCCGAACACTGATGGCTGCGCTCTGCTGTTTTGGCAATATTAAGACACTGAGCTGCAGGTCAGGTTTTAAATCCAGTGATGTGATGTGAATGTGACCTCATTGGCCACTTCTGTCCTCAACCAACCTTTATAACGGCAATGTTTCGTCTTTTCAAAGTGGACCAAACGCCATCACCACAGATGTCAGTGAACTGACCCAGATCTTATACAGCCATTACCACATCACTTCAGGAATTTGTTGGAGTAACAGCATGCAAAGAAAAGCATAGGCTACCTCTTATTTTTCTCTCCAGTGTCGGTGGTTTAATGAAAGCTGCAGCTCTCGGCGCCCCTCTCAACTCCGCCCCACGTTTCGCCAAAACTTTGACTGAACTTTCCTCCGCGGAGCCCGTGCGTCACTCTCCCAGTAACCTGGCTTGGACAAACCACAGGACCGCTCAACTGCTCCTGAAACACGAACAATGGGTTGGCAGCAGCAAGGATGGCTCGTCTGTGCGAGTTTTCTCGGATTCGTTGCGTCGGTGCAGAGCATAACGCGGGGGGAGCTTTTTCCCTTCGGTCCAAGCGCAAGGGACCAGTTACTGGAAGCGGGGAATGATCAGACGCACCGACTTGAACTGGACAGGCCAGTGTTGTTTTACGATGGCACTTTCGACAGCATCTTCGTAAGTCAAACCACAACTTGGCACACCAACATTGTCATTTTAACACAAACGCTTGGGAGTTGTGGTCAGGGGTGGACTGTCCAACGATCTTGCGCAATTGCGCATAGCCTAGAAAACCCGGGTAGTTATGGTGAAAAGTGTTCAGTAGCTACAACCTTAAACAATACATGGAAGTTGCAAAATGTATCTGGGGCGGAGAATGCTCTGGACTATGTGCGTTAATATTGATTTGCTTATCACAGAGGCTGCTGTATCTTGTAGTTACGGCTTCCACTGAGATTATCATTTTACCGTTGACACACTGATCAGAGTCCTTGTTTTGCAATCCAACCCAAATATTTTGATGTCACATAACTGTGAGTATCTCTTATAACTAAGAGATACTTACATGAAACAAACATATATGTTTAAAATATTTACTTCCAGCAATATATAGACAATAAACTGTGCAAAAGAGTGACTTTGGAGGTTAGTCTGTTAATTCTCAGAGGATTCATGTGATTATTATTTGCTGTTTTCAGTAACCATGTGGAGCTTTCAAATGACTTGAAAAAAACCCAATAGCAACATTTAGCTGAAAGCTGCACCATTGTGTTGGACATACAAAGTCTTCTCTTCAAAGAAAGTGCTGCATCTCTGTTTTAATTGTGCTGCATGTGGATGATACGCTGTCAGAGAGTGATTATGTACAAAAGGTTTTTCCTTTGAAAGGCAGGAACTCAACATTTGATGAAGCTTTGTTGGTGTTTTAGTTTTAATAAAGTTAGTTTAGCCTATACTCGATGAAGCAGTAATCATTATTTCTGTGTTGATAACAGCTTCCTCTTTGATCAGTGAATTTTAATTTGTCGCTAATGGAACCGTTACATGTCCAATCTCACCCAGGGAGCAGATCTATTAGAGGAGATGAGCTGAGGCAAGAAGTTGTGGTTAACACATGAGCCTGAGGTTGAGAGTGAATCAATCTGGGGGGGGGGGGGGGGTTCCCAACTGCTGACTACTTATAAGTTATAAGTTAGTCAATATGGCCTGAAGATTTTTGTTTTTTCATTTACAAGACAGTCCCTGAACTGTCTATGCCCAAAAGGGGAACAGTAATGCCTTTAACACCAGACATGGTTATAGAAAAATACCTTTTATCTAATCATTAGAAGGTTTCATCGTCTCCTTCTGAGTGTGATTCATATCCCACAAACCTTAAAGATCTCTCTCTGCACCATGTCTGCGAGATCAGTTTCCCAACTCTATCTTCCATTTTGGCAGGAAGTTTCTGTAATGAAGATTAGTGTGCAATCGTTGGGCTCTCTGGGGCTGCTCGTCAAGGGGCAGGGACAGGAAACAGTGTGGCCCGGGCCAGCAATAGTGCTCTCGTTTTGCTCTGGAAAGGAACCCCATGTGCACTGTGTGTGTTTTTGACAAGAGCCCAGCTTGTCTTTATTTACAAGCCCTGCATGTGTTCATGTTAAATCTTAAGTGTGTGAAATCTGTGTTAAATGGCATCTTCTTTGTTCATTAGAGCCTTTGTAGGACATGGCAGCTGACTCGGATCATTAGTCTAATGAGTGTGGAATAAAGATCAAAGTGGGTCAGACTGGACCGGGTTCACCTCTGATGTGAAACAGTTCTTCATGTGTTGTTATCCTGGTTACTATAAAGACGGCCACACAGTGTCACAGTCATCTCACTCCTTGTTATCCCCATGACTAACTTGAGCTTTTAATTTCAGATCAACACCAATGGGTTCGTAGCCACAGCAGAGCCAACAAGCGAGTCGACATATCTTGGCAATATGCCCCCAAACTTCGGCATGATTGCAGCTCTGCAAGGAGACCTGGACACAAGTGATGGTGTGGGGAAAGTTTTCTTCCGTCAAGACTCCAGTCCTGATGTTCTAACTCGAGCGGCCCAGTACATCAACGGGGCCTTCCCCGAGGATGACGAAGTCAATCCCACCAATGCTGTGGTGGTCACCTGGGTTAATGTCGCCACCCATGAACCTCCAAGCAGAGGAGATGGCATTGACAAGAAGGTGAGCATCACATGGTAATTCAAGTGATCCGTGGTGTAACTTGTCATTTGCGTACTCTCTAATGTTTTATCACACAGAGAAACACCTTCCAGCTGGTTATTGCGTCCCTGGAGACTGCATCGTACGCTATTGTCCTGTATGCAAGGGACGGGATGCAGTTTTCTTCCACCCCCGTGCAAGGCGGAAGTGCGGTCATGCACGCTGGCTTCAGTAAGGGTTTGGGCCAGGGTTTCCGGGTTTCCAGTCAGGGGCGGTACTACCGCACCACCACTGATGACGAGGATTCCATCACGGATTTAGCAGAGTAAGTCCACCAATGGCAGCAATAACCATTTCCTGCCATTGTGTTGCTGTGTTTGTATAATGTTTTAAAAACAGTGACTGTAAAAGTCTCTTTTCGCCTTATAGAAAGACCAACTCTGGCCTGCGGGGTTTATGGGTGTATGAGATTGGAACATCTCCCTATTTCACCAACGTGGCTCCAGGTGAGGTCACTGACCTGCCCACCGAGGCCACGCCACAGGCGCCCACTGAGGGGGATGAGGAGGAAGCTGATGCAAGTAGGACTGTGTATACTAACGGACAGATAAAGCAGGAGCCTCCTTATGAGCCAGAGAGGGTGCAGATCGAAGTCCACCCAATTCAGTACCAGCCACATCAGCCTGACAACCCAGAAGTCTTGGTGGTGGACGACACAGATATAAATGTAGATGGTGAGTCCACTAGAGAAAGTCTCAAAGGCTCTTTGCTTATCATAGTTGGAAAATTCTAGGTGTTTAATCAATTAGCCGTTCCTGCCACATTCTTACCATGTTTCTCCTTGTTTTCAGTGTTCTCATACAACCTGGGGACATGTGCGAACAGTAGAAATAAGTGCTCCCAGTTTGCTGACTGCAAGGACCACTCCAGTGGATACTGCTGCAACTGCAGACCTGGCTTCTATGGCAATGGGATACAGTGTGTTGCAGAGGGTAAGTGTTTGTTCATTCTTTACTGCTTCAAGAAAATGGAGAGGAATGGGTTCGGTTAAATGTGTGCCTATGGCAATGTTTTTTGGCAGTTTCTTGTCACATTCTATGAGCTAATGTTTTGAGTTGCAATAACAGTAAACATAAAATACTATGACATATTGTGACACTGTTATTGTCTGTGTCCCCATCGTACCATGTTCCCCAGCTCAATATCCTATTCACGTGACACACTTAAGACACCTTTAAAAAATCTTGTATTTTCAGCTGTATTTTTTTCCTCATTTAAATGTTCAGTGTATTATATAATTGACCATTACACGAACGTTACTCCTGAAATTCTTTGAGCAAACTGGGAAAAATGTATGTGTTAAGCTCTGGTGTTTGGTTTGTTTTTGCAGGAAAGCCACAGAGGATGAATGGTAAAGTGTATGGAAAAGTGTATGTGGGTGACTCTGCTTCTCCAATGGAGTTCACTAGCAACGACCTCCACTCATATGTCGTGGTAAACGATGGCCGTTCCTACGTGGCCATCAGTGATATCCCTAACACCATTGGACCCTCACTGCTGCCCCTGTCGGCCCTTGGTGGTGTGATTGGGTGGGCGTTTGCTTTGGAGCAGCCTGGCTTCAGGAATGGCTTCAGCATTATTGGTGAGAGAAATATTTCTACAACTGCACCAAATAATATCTGTGACGCCGAGAAGCTTTTCGTGTGTTTTTCTCATGCTTTGCTTGGTTATAAAATGACATAACTGAATATTCAGGAAGTCTAAATCTCTGTAAACAAATGTCAACGCTGCTACAAGCGGTTTGCCATACAGCTGCAGTTTTACTCACTCTTTCCAGCCGAATTCCCCTCAGGTTACTTCAGCTGTGACAGAAGGCGGCGAGCCAAAGTTCATCCAGGGCCAGGGTCTTAAAGTTAACCTCCTCTTCTCTGTCCTCTGTAGGGGGGGAGTTCACACGGCAGGCTGAGGTGACCTTTCTGCCAGGGAATGAGAAGCTGACCATCAGGCAGGAGTTCAAAGGCATCGATGAGCACGACCACCTGGCGGTGAGCACCACCCTGGAAGGCCGGGTCCCTGAGGTGCCTCGTGGCTCCACCGTGAAGATCGACCCTTATTCTGAGGTCTACCAGTACAGCAACAACTGTGAGATACAGCTTGAACAGAGACTCACTTTGTTTTGATTGAAAATGTCGGTGGCTTGTTTCTCCTGTTGTTTTGCACTTGTCCAAACCTCTTTTCTGCTTTTGTAATCATAACTAAACCATTAAGAAGACTAACGAGTCATCTACTTGCTTCTTACCTGCCTATCACACCTTCCAGTGATCACTTCATCTTCCACTCGGAACTACGAAGTAAGCTTGCTCGATGGCTCCACTTCCACCAGGACGTACCAGTGGCGTCAGACCATCACCTTCCTGAGCTGCCAGCATGGCGAGTCTTTGAGAGACATGAAACCAGCTCAGATGCTCAGCGTGGACCAAGTCTTTGTCCTGTACAATGCTGATAATGAACTCATCCGGTTCGCCATGAGCAACAAAATCGGGGATATCAACGGTGAGGTCATGGAGATTATTTTTGTCTTCCTGTTTTGGTCTGCGCACACTTCCTTCCTGGAGTGCAACATACAGTATTACATCCTGACCAAGGACTGGTTTTATTAAAAGTTATGGCTTATTTTGTCATGGTATCACATGAATTGATATTATAATGGTAAGATTGTCCTAAAATACTCCCTTAATTCCCAGGAGGGCAGCCAGAAGAGAACCTGTGTTTCACTGGAAGACACGGCTGTGACACCAACGCCGTGTGCCGACCCGGAGAGGGAAATCAGTTCACCTGCGAGTGTGCTGCTGGCTTCAATGGTGATGGCCGCACATGTTATGGTAAGAATGACACATGATGTGACATGAAAAAAGGACCTTTGTTTCCATTGTTTTTGGAAATAAAGATTCTCACCATTAATGTATTTAACTCAAACAGTTTCCGCGTCTGTTTGGAGCCATCATTTGATTAACCCAGATCTTCTAAAGCCTTCCTTCCAGGGGAACTGGGCAATGTAACCAATTAGCAGAGGGAGTATCAC